CATATATAATCTTCATTGTTAAAATACAAAATTCTTTTTTGCACAGAATGTAGGTAAAATGCAGTTAGGAGGCAGCAGGATTATATTTATCTTCCAAGTCAGTAATTTTTTAAAGAAAGACTATCTTATTTCATTATTTCATGTTTGGAAGTATATAAGAATTTATACGTGAGGTAGAATTTTGAGATGATGATTTTGTCCAAACCTTCATCCTAAGATATCTGTAAATAAAATAACTGACTTAATATATTATTTTTCCTTCTTAACAATAATCTCATTGGCCTCAAATAAAATTTAACTATTTGATTTCATGTATGTTGCAAATAAATAATAAGCAATATCGTATGTATTTGTGGCCCTATATTTTTAGCCTAAAAATGAACATGACTGATATAAATTGGTTTATTTATGTGGGCCATATCCATAACCTGCACCAGTAGAGAAGTTGGGATATAAGATCAAAATGGGTATGGCAATCATACTCAAGTAGGATCAGGTGAATAGTAATCTCAAAAAGAGTTATTTTATTATTAACTCTGCTTGACTAGGTTACATCATTTATGTTAGGAAAATAAATCTTGACATTTATATGGATAATTTTGTGCCTTAGTTGTCAACCTTCCTGTGAGACATGGGTTCTGATTAAACTCTGATTGAGAATGAGAACAGTAATACATTATTAATGAACTCAGGGTAATTGTAAAGTTTTATGACTTAGGGATCAGTGGAAATTGGTTCCATGGTCAGTTTGAGAAATTATGAGAATACACCTTGCACTGACAGTGCTGATAGCTTAGCATTAGTCATGGTCATCCCACAGCCATGGCCTGTGACAGCACTAATGATAGTCATTTTGTAGCGTGACCATGCATTAGAATTCATTTAGAAGAGCATAAAATGTCAAATGTTGGACTAAAGATTTTTCAGCAGTGTTTGACACAGGAGGCTTTATATTCACAGAAGTTCATGTTTGTTGAAATTGTAACACATTACAATGATCTGAAGAAAATTAATAGGAAAATGTAGATTAAAAATCAATTAAAATTAATTTTTATATTTGTCACTTTGAACACTAAAATCCTATTGCCAATCAAAGCCTTAGAAAACAACGTGAACATTTATTCTTTCATGAATCTCAAGTGATATTTTTATTCATGAAGTAGTATTTCACATGGATGAAAGCAAATATAAATCTGATGTTTAATAAATGATATATTTGAATAAATAATATTGAGAAATTTAAGTTTAAAGTTATCAATATAATTTTTGTATAATAAAACTATATACAATAAATTTATAATAAAATAAAAAATGAGGGATATTAACAGAGTCAAAATAACATAATAGATAAAGGCATGAGCTTAAGACAAAGGGTTGGAATAGTCCAGACCAACACGCTTTTGTCTTATTGCTTTAGGGTAGTTATTTAATACTACTAAGCTTGCTTTGCTCACACATTAATACTTCACAATGAAGGATATACTGATATTTCTTTATCATATATTCAAGTAAAACATAAAGATGTGAAGATCATAACTAAGACCAAGCTTGAGAGACTGAGATAAGATTATGATTTTCATAGAGCATACTGCCTGTTTGGATTTTGATACAGAGTACATTTTTGTTTACCCTTCAGGATTTACAGACTAGAAAGATTTTTAAATGAAGATAAAGAAACTAAGTTGTTTAAAAATTTCAAATAAAATCAGAGAAGCAAAAGACATCAGTTAATATCGAAAAACATGGAATTTGAAGCTGTTAGAACATACCACTATTTATCCTACAACATCATATTCCATTTTAGCAAATGCAGATAAAAAAATATAGGGAAAATGATTTAGCTGATAGTTTGGGTTTTTTTTCCCCTCTAATTTTTAAAAATTAATAAGTGACTTGAAAATTCCATGCTTGCTCATTTTAATAAAAAACATTTATTCAGAATTTTTTCGTGACTTGAAGATCTAAGTAAATCAAGACTTCACTCAATGTTACATCTAATGCAGCTCACAGGGTTTTTTTTTTTTTTGATTTATCTATTTTGGACCACTGTACATTGACATAATGTCAAATTGTCATATTTGGAATTAATTCTTAAGTCTTAGAAGACATTCTTCCATTCATGAAGGAGAAGTTTAAAAGAGTTGCATACTTTCAGTGAGTTTATAGGGTTTGGCCCTGTTTAATTATAATTGAATCAAGTAAGAATTCATTATTGATTAAATAAATACTGGCATACAAATTCAGATCAAGGGTGATCTTCACCAAATGGCTTCAATAGCTTCAACATGATAGGATTAATTATGTTAGCGTGCATGTCTTTCTTTCTTTCTTTTTTCTTCTGATCAGGCAGACTCTACTCATTGTAATATAAGTTGGCAAGTTTTCCTTAATAGCATTAATACAACTCTCAAAATAACTTACATCTTTGGCCCTGGCATGACTAACTCTCAGCCTTTGAATGACTTCTTTCCTCATGATGCTCTGAAGAATTAGAACTTTTACTAGAAGAAAATATATGTAGACATAACAGTCATCATTCAGGGGCAGAGTTTGTCTGCAGATAGATTCTTCACCCCAGTGCTCTATCACTATCCTCCTTTTTTTTTTTTTTTTTTTGCATCATCACCGTTTCTATTTGGAAAAAAAAAAAAATTATATATATATATCTATCTTTGCTATTCTTATCTAATCAGTGATAGGTACAAAAATATGCCATAAAGAAAAGACTAGGATATTCCAAACTTCCTCTTTTCTCCTTTCCATTTCCATTGAAATATCACTATCTGTTACATTATCAGAATTCCTGGTTGCCCTGGAACAATAGATACAAGGAGATGAGTATAGAGATAAGAACAGAATATGAGTAAATTTAATGTAGATTAACCTAAAATATATTCCATACCATACATTTAACTTCAAAACACTGCAAATTTCTATTATCTGTCAATGTTTCCAATGGAAGTATAACACTAGCACATATGTAATTTGAGATTTCCTAAAATGTAAATGTAAATAAAAAATGTAAAAAATAAACAATGTTAATATGAAGGATATTTTATTTAATGCAAATATCCAAAATAGCATTATTACAATATGTGTGTATATGTATGTGTGTTTTCAGTGCCCTTGAGTTGACTGCAACTCACAGCACCCATATCTATAACAGAACACAGCATTACTCTGTCCTGAGGTATCCTCATAATCATTGCTAGGTTAGAGCCCATTGTTTCAGCCAGTGTCAACCCACCTCATTGAAGTTCTTCCCCTTTTTCACTGCCTGACTTTACCAACCATGATGATATCTCAAGGGACTGATACCATGTCCAAAGTACATGAGACAAAGACTCACCATACTCCCTTCTAAGGAGCATTCTGGCTGTACTTCCAAGACAAATTTGTTCGTTCTTCTGGTAGTCCACGATACATTTAATATTCTTCATCAACATCAAAATTCAAGGACATCAATTCTTCTTCAGTCTTTATTCTTTGACCAGCTTTTGAATGCATATGAGATGATTGAAAATACTATGGCTTGGGTCAGGCTCCCCTTAATCCCAAAAATGACAACTTTGTTTTTAACACTTAAAAGATGTCTTTGGCAGCAGATTTGCTGAATGCAATACATCATTTGATTTCTTGACTACTGCTTCCATAGGCATTGTTTGTGGGTCCAAGTAAAACAAAATATTTTCTCTGTTTATCACAATGTTGCTTATTGGTCTAGTTTTGAGGATATTTGTTTTCTTTATGTTGAGGTGTAATCTATATGAAAAGCTTGATCTTAATCAGTTAAGTGTCTCAAGCCTTTTTCACTTTTAGCAAGCTAGGTTATATCATTTTCATATTGCAGATTATTAATGAGTCTTCCTCTAATACTGATGTTGCATTTTTCTTATATAGCCAACTTCTTGAATTATTGACTCAACATACAGATTGAATAAGTATGGTGAAAGGATACAACCCTGACACATACCATTGCTGATTATAATTCATGCAGGATACCCTTGTTCTGTTCAAATTACCACCTCTTTGTCTATGTGTAGGTCCTGCAAGAGTACAGTTAAGTATTCTGGAATTCCCATTCTTCAAAATGTTATCCATAATTTATTCACACAGTTGAATACCTTTGCACAGTCAGTAAAAAATAGAAAAAATTCTCTCTGTTATTCTCTGCTTTTTGCAAAGATCCATCAGAATGATGATATCCCTCATGCAACATCCTCTTCTGAATCTGGTTTGAATTTTTTGCATTTCCCAGTTGATGTACTGCTACAACCATTTTTGACTTATGTTTAGCATAATTTTACTTGCAGGTGATATCAATTATATTGTTTGATAATTTCCTCTATATGTCGGGTCATCTTTCTAATTTCTTGGCATAGATGTAACTTCCGGGAGCTCTGGTAGCATAGTGGCTAAAGCACTTGACTGCTAACCAGAAGGCTGGCGGTTCAAACCCACCAGCCACTCCTCGGAAGGAAGTTTGGGCAATCCTACTTCCGTAGTGATACTGCCTCGGAAACCCAAGGAGGGGTCGCTATGAGTCGGGGCCGACTCGGCACACAACAACAACAACAACAAGATGTAACTTCCATCTTTGCATTTGTTTTTTGAAATATCTCAATTTGTATTCTATCAATTCCTGGATCCCTGTTTTTCTCCAATGCAGTCAGTACAGCTTGAATATATTCTTTCATACATTACCTCCTGAAGTTGTTGAACATTGACCTATTCCTTTTGATATAATGACTATATTCTTTTCATCTTCTTTTGATTCTTCTTGCATCATTCAACATTTTTCCCATAGAATTCTTCAGTATTATAACTACAGGCTTGAACTTTTTTTTTCTTCAGTTCTTTCAACTTTGGTGGCATAGTGCCTAAGGCATTTGACTGTTAACCAGACAGCTGGTGGTTCAAACCCACAAGCCACTCCTTGTAGAAGGAAGGTTGGGCAATCTACTTCTGTGCTGATACTGCCTCGGAAACCCAAAGAGGAGTCGCTGTGAGTCGGATCCGACTCGACGACCATGAGATTGGTTGCTTGGTTCAGCTTGGGAAATGCCAAGCTGATTCTTCTGTTTGTTTTTCATACTCAAAGTTTTTGAATATTTCATATAATAGTCTGTCTTCTCAATCCACTCCTTGAAATCTTTTTACCTCCTCTACTTCATTGTTTCTTCCTTTGCTTTAGCTGCTCTACATTAAAGAGCAAGTTTCTAAATCTCTTCTGACATGTATTTTGGTCTTCTCTGTCTTTGTCTTTTTAATAATCTTTTGCTTCTCCAAATATGATATATTTGATATCCCACAACTCATCTAGTCTTTGGTCATCTGTATTCAGTGTGTCTAATCTATCTATGAGATGATATCTAAATTGAGATTTTACCTTGGCTCTTATGGTTGTTTTTGTTGTTATGTGTCTTTGAATCGGCCCCGACTCATACAACCCCTTGTAGATTTGTTTTAATTTTCTTCAATTTCAACTGAACCTTAGAAATAAGCAGTTGATAATGGTCTGTTCTTCAGTCAGCACTATCTTGTTCCTACTGATGAACTGTGCTTCTCCATTGTCTCTGTGTACAGATGTAGTCAATTAGATTCCTGTTATCCATCTGGAATGGTCTACATGTATTGTTGTCCTTTATGTTTAAAAAAAAAAAAAAAATTGTAATGAATGAGTCATCAGTCTTGCAAAATTAGATCATGTGATCTCTGACCTCATTTCTAGCACCAAGACTAAGTTTTCCAACTCCAGTTCTGCTTTGCTTCCAATTTTTGCATTCCAATTACCAGTAATTATCAATGTATTTTGATTGGATGTTTGATCAAGTTCAAATTGTAGGAGTTGGTACAATTCTTCAGTTTTTTCATCTTTGACAGGAGTGGTGGGTGTGTAAGTTTGACTAATAGTCAAACTAATAAGGTCTTCCTTAGAGTAATATGAATATTATTCTATCACTGTCAGTATTGTACTTGAGGATAGATTTTGAAATATCTTTTTGACAATGCATGCAGTACCCTTCCTCTTCAATTTGTCAATGCAGAAATAGTGGATCATGTGCTTGTCCAATTAAAAATGGCCAATAACAATCCATTTCAGCTCATAAATGCCTTGGATAGAGAGTTTTATGTGTTCTATTTCATTTTGGACAACTCTCAATTTTCCTAGTTTCATACTTTGCATCTGCCACTTCCAATTATTAATGTATCTTTATAGCTGTTTCTTGTCATGTTGAGCCATGCCCCATCAGCAAGCAAAGGCCCCAACATCATTACTCCATCCACATCATTAACAGTGAGTCTACTTTGAAGAGGCAAGTCATCCCTAGTCATATTGTGAGTGCCTTCCAACATGATGGGGCTCATCTCCCGTACTATATCAAACAGTGTTCTATAGTGATAGATAAAATTCTCCCTGGGCAATTGTTTTTTAGGGGTAGACCACCATATTCTTCTTCCATCTGTCCTGGTCTGGAAGCTCCACTGCAATTTTTCCACCATGGTGACCCTGTTGGTATTTGAAATATCTATGACATAGCTTCTAGAATTCACAATATAACATACTGGAGAGTGGTGGATTATAATATGTAATCAATATTAAAACATTATTAAAATAATTTACATTATTTTTCCTAACTTTGTTTTCAAAATCTGACAGATATTTCACATTTAAAGGGCACTACAATTTGGGTGTCAATTTTTCAGTGGAAATAGTTTTTATTTAAATTTCACATAATTTAATGTTTAAAATATAAGTTTGCATATTCAAGTATATCCAAACATATTTAAATTCTTATCCCAATTTAAAAGAATCAATTTTTAAATTTAAATTAATTAAAACTATATAAAATATAAAAGTTTCTCATTGTACTAGCCACATGAAGTGCTTAATATCCACTGTACACTTTTGTTCAGTATCATATGAATTTATGTATACACATATATGATCCTACTCCTACAAGGGTGTCATGTACTTATTTACATTATGAACAAGCTATTGAGTCCTTTGGTGAGTCACAGGCACCTCACATTTGCATATTTGCACACAGTTACCTGGTAGGAGTCACAAAGGCTATGGCTACAAGAACCATACCAAATAATTCAGTGCACAACATCATTTAAAAATCATTTTCCTACTTGGCAATCTTTCTGTTTCTACCTTTTCTTTTTTTCTATTGTGTTCTATAACTTAATCAACAATTTGGGCATAGAGAAAATATTTTAACAAAGACTTATTAATAAACCTTTATTAAATTTCTATTGTAGTATTTCTGATCAGAGTTATTGTTCTCACTTTTGGAGAACTTGTTTAACCTAAATGATGATATGTAAGTTTCAGATGACATTCCAAATCTTCCTCAAAACATGCATGCTAGCAAATAAACATGTGGGGCTGCTAGAATAAAATAAAGCTATTTAGATTTCACAAATTTAATTAAGAAATAATCATCTTACAGTGGCATCCTACACAAAACATCCTCTGGCTTATACAGGCTATAAAAGAGAATATCAATTATCGTTTAATAATGTCACTTTCCCAATCAGTTGGAAATTAACAAAAGTGCCTTGTTTACAGGAAGCTGAATGACATGATAGTCTGATGGTTTTTCAACTGTGAGTATTACGCATGACTTATTTAATTATGAAGGAAGATACAACTGGGATCATCTGAAGGAAAAAGATTACTCTTTTTCAGAAACATTAAAATTATCTCAAACAAAGCATTCTAAAAAAAATTACTTTGAAGTTGTTCCCTTGCAAATATACACTGACACATTTTGTAACTTTCAATAGACACTTTAAATTTAAAATGGAATCAAGGAAATAAAATAATTTCCATAATTGGCACTGTTAATAAAATGTTTAGAAGAAATTCTTTTATCTAAATGACATTTATCTAGAATGTCATCAATGAATAGTTCTTTTCTATTTTCCATAAAACAACCTAAATATCAATTTTGGTTTTAATGAATTTGTGAAGAAATTGAAAAAGTTGAAAAGTTGTAGTTCTGTTTGAAATAAGAAAATCCTTTTCATGTCTAATATAATTATCACTGTATTTGTGTGTGTGTTTAAGTTAGTTCCTATTACATTTTTCCCAGTATTATAGAGCAATTTCATTATAAACCTGGAGGGCCTGATTAGCTTAGCTTGTTAAGTAAGAGTATTAATACAACCAATACAATGAATTTAAACATTTTGTTCCCATTTGCCTTTTTTTCTTTAATAGTGGCAGCTTAAGACCTTCATACATTAACTAAAAATGTGAACCTAATGTAAAAATATCCTTTTTCAGAGGACATAACATAGTTGGCACTAATAATCATTGATCACTGGTAGATTTGTTCACACTTAAGAGCCTGGTCAATATATCTTGATCTAGCGATATTACATGAAGAGCTCCAGAGGAGTTGGAGGTTGGCATCATATATTTTTATAGGTAAATTAAGACAACTAAAATTTCTGTGGGTTGTTGAGTTTATCTTTCTGTATATCATAGGTTTTAATGTGGACTATATCACTATTCCACACTAAAACTACCCACCAGCCACTCCTCAGAAGGAAGATGGGGCAATCTACTTCTGTAGTGATATTGCCTCAGAAACCCAAGGAGGAGTTGCTATGAGTTGGGTCCGACTCAACGGCAAATAACAACAACAACAACATATCACTATTCTTCCTTCTAACATCCTTGTTTTCTGATCTCTGACTCCTAGTAGTTTCTTGCCTGTACTCAGCCCCAAAGTGTAGTCTGATGAAATGGGAGCTACCTTCATTACCTGTATTCTTCCTTCCTGTTATGGATACCTGTTCATGAGGCATGCTGGTTACTTTTCATGAATGCATATGTTCTAGGAAACAATAGGAGATGAAAGAGGAGAGAGGCAGAGCTGTTAGCCAAGGCTGATTGAGCAGATATTCATTGAACCTAACTACCACAAATGGGTTTCCTTTCCAAGAAGCACCTCCCAGATAAACTAGTCTCTGTGTAGTGCAAACGATTAGGCTCTTGGCTACTAATCAAAAGATTGGTGGTTTGAGTAACTCAGATAAGCCTCAGAAGAAATATCTGGTGATCAACTTCCAAGAAATCAACCACTAAAAACTCTGTGGAGCAGAATACTACTCTGACACACGTGGGATTGCTGTAATTCAAGGTCAACTCGATGACAACTAGTTTGCTTTTATTGGCTTGGCTTATCACCTTAAGAATGTACAGAATAAGCTGCACAATTTTGAACTGAGAGAAAGCGAAAAATTAGTCATTGTTTAATGTTTTCTAGGCATGGTACCTTGAGTATGGTACCTTTAGCTTTATGAGTATCAGGTTTTCCACCTCTAAAACTGCAATGATAATAGTTCCTCACTGGCTGGCTTTGATTTCAGTATTGAATATTTTATAATTTAGTAAATATCAATAATATTGATACTTAATTCTGTTGTTGTTAGATATCAAGTAGGTTCCAACTCATGTTGTTGTTGTTATGTACAGTCGAGTCAGACTCGACTCATAGCGACCCCTCCTTGGGTTTCCGAGTCGGTATCACTACGGAAGTAGATTGCAACCTTATGTAGTACAGAATGAAACTGCCAGTCCTGCACCATCCTCACAATCCTTCCTATGCTTGAACCCATCATTCCAGCCACTGTGTCAATCCATCTCGTTGACAGTTTTCTCCTTTTTCGCTGACCCTCTACTTTACCAAGCATGATGTTCTTTTGCAAAGACTGATCCCTTCTGACAGAATGACCAAAGTACATGAGACAAAGTCTGTCTATTCTCACTTCTAAGGAGCATTCTAGCTGTACTTCTTCCAAGACAGACTTGTTTGTTCTTCTGGCAGTCCATAATGTTTTCAAATATTTTATGCCAACATCATAATTCAAATGTATTAATTCTTTTACCATCTTCCCTATATTTTCCAGCTTTCACATGTATATGAAGCTATTAAAACACTATGGTTTAGGACAGGCACAAACATTCTTCAAACTGACATCTTTGCTC